AATTTTGATGTATGACAAACTAATTTTGAAATTTGTGACCAACGATTTAATTGTGACCTACAAATTTTTTGAGCTGTAACCTTAAATTGTAAATCTGTGACAAATAAAAATTAGTATTTGTGACTGAAAAATAATATGTAACTAATTCAACTATAAATCTGTGACCGGAATGATTGCCGGAATAGTAGTCGGAATGGTCGTCGGAATAGTCGCCGGAATCGGAGTACTCGTCAAAATGGTCGTCGAAGAAGAGTGGCAGTAGGAATGGTCGCTGGAATAATCTCCTAAGCGGTAGGGGTGGTGCATGTGGGGTATGTTTATTATATTATATTATATTAGAATTAAAAAAAAACCCTAATTTTTGAATGTTCAAATTATAAACATGATTTTTGAATTGGTGTAAACTAAACACCTTATTTATGAATTTTTCCCATATTATAAAATTAAATAAATCTACAAACCTACCACCCACCAAAACAACTCAGCCCACCCCAATTTAAATTAATCCACACAATCCACCCAGCCCTCGTTCACCCCAAACCCTAATTTCCCTGCTATTCCCTTCAACACAACAACTTTGGCGTTAAGGCGCGGCATCAGAGGCGTAGCCATTGCTTCGTCTCATTGGATGTGTAGCTCTTCGCCTTTGTGGATGCGCAGCTCTATCGCTTCGCCTAAGTGGATGTGGAATCGGATGGTCACAGAACTGCTTGTGGAGTTAAAGGGCGACGTTCCGAAGCAAAACCAACTCTGCAAAGTGGAGTTGAGGCGCATCGTCGCGCCTTAATAGTTGGCTTGGTCACAGCGCTGCTTGTGGATCTAAACTTTTCTCCGACGTTGTGGATCGCGGCGGTGATCAAGACTTTTCTCCGGTGTTACGAATCACAACGCCGCTTATGGAGGTTTCTTTGGTGATTTCTGAGGAACACAGTGCCGCTTGTGAAGGTTTTTGTGGGGATTTTGAGACGTTGTGCAGTGGTTTTGTGGTGATTTTCTGGCATGTTTTGTTGTGGTCTTTGAGGTGGTGGTGGCGACGATTTTGTGAATTTTTTCGTGGGGTGGTGATTGTGGTCTGGTGTAAATGGAGATCAAGGAGATGGTGGTGTGCTGTGGGTGGTGCTATGTGTTGTGGTGTGTTGTGGGCGTGGTGGTGTGGTAGTGGGGTTACGGGTGCTGTGGTGAAATCATGAGGTAATGGTGCTTTTGGAAGGGGCAGTGCGCATGATGGTGGTGGGAAGAGTGTTTGTAACCAATTATTTTGGTGTTGTGACCAATAAGTTATTAATTTGTGACTAGTATATAATATGTGACCTAAAAGAATACGTGATTGTGACTAAATTTGTAATTGTAACTCAAAATTTGGTAAATTGTGACCAATTAATTTGATAATTTATGATTGTGAAATAAATTGTGACCTATAAAATTTTTGTTTTGTGCCGAAAAATAAATTGTGACTTATAAAATTTTTGATTTGTAACCGAAAAATAAATTGTGACATAAACACGTAATTGTGACCATAAATATTTAACTAATAAAATATATTTTTAATTAATTATTTCATAAATAAAATTAAATTAATATCTGATTTCTGAAATAACAAACCTTATTTCTTAGTTTTGAAATATATCATACTTAATCTCTTAGATATGAAATTTTTCCTATGTGCAACCTCATTGCATCCGTGTCTTTTTCTTGAGTTTGAAAGTTGGTGTATTTTGTGAGAGTTGAGAGAAAACAATATAGAGGCAGTCGATTTCTTCATCTCCTCCATGGCCTTGGAGTCTATTTTTCTCCATCTTAACAGCTACAATCAAACCACCATTTTCATCTCCATAGTGATTGTGAAAGAACTTGTGGCAACCAGAGTGGTTTTGTTGTGGTCAAGCTTGGTTTCATTGATGTTCATTTGGTGAATAAACTGAGCCTGAATCGAAGATTTCTAGAGGGATTTCGCAACAATGTGAAACATCAATCTTCATGTTGGAGTTGTTCTTGTTCTACAACAATTCTTCAACTTGCACAAATTCTATAGTCCTCTTGATTTTTGTGCTAAGTTTGGGAGTTGCTTGTGACAAAGGAGTTGGCTAGAAGATCACAAACGTCGACTTGGCAGAATACACAAAAAGTAGAATTGGTAATAAGTAGGGACCATATTTATATTTTTGGTTTTAAACTTTTAGTTGGAGGCTGTTGACCCTAAAAAATGGTTCTAACTCGTGACCAATAGAAAATAAGAGATTCGCGTCTTTGTAAATAGAATCACAATATGCTCGAATCTAACTACTAGTTATATTGATGAATCAATGAAGGGAATGATCCACATCATTTTATAGGTTGTTGTTATAATTGCGTTGTGCAAAAAAAAAGGGGTTCGGCCGTTGAGTGTAGTAAAGAGAATCAAGGTTTACTTTGGATGTGCAAGCTAGCATTATTTTTTCATGGTGTTATGTATGGCTTTTTATACTAAGTGCAACGAGGAATCTGGCCCATTGGATGGCCAAGCACGTGGTACATTAGATCTAAGGGTCGTTATTGATGTTAATCAATCAGTCAATCAACGCCTTTTAATGTTAAGGTCCTCGCCTGTCGGCTATGTGGATCTTATAGCGAAGGCACCTAGGGGTGGCACTTGTAGCGTTGTCTTATCAATCACTTCACAAGGTTTGCTGCGGTTGACTAACCGCCTCTTCAGGACTGGGTTCGTAACAAGGGCCTCCTCAATAAAAGGGTGTGGTGGGGGTCGGATGGAATAGCTTTAGATGGATTGGGCCTCGGATTGCGTGGAATCGGGTCGCCCCTCTTGCGCATGCCCATAAATCTATGCCGTGTAATTTTGTCCATTTGCCACATGGTACGTTTAGTTTACGATTATTTATATGAGTAACAGAGGCTATAAGTTTTGTAAACCCAAAAATTATTTGATTGTGACTTTCATTTCTAGTGAATTTTTGAAGAATATGTTTTCCCAGTAAGGATTTTACCCCCTTAGCACAAAAAGTTTATTTTCAAGACATTCACAACCTATTCAACCCCTTTCTGATTGTTTTATAGTAGATCTGAACAGTGTGGTCCCAAATTATTTAATTCATATTATTCAATTACTGGAAAGCAATAATCTGAAAAACCTGAAGAGGATGGCGAGGATGAAGGTAGTGGCAGGAGTGAGATTGCTCATGGCGGAACCAAGTGTTGGACTACTGTAAGCGATTCCTCTATACCCCAGAAATTGAGCTATAGACCTGCAATACATATAATTATATTCCACACAAAATTTGCTATATAAATTCATTTACCCAAGAACTGTACCGTACCCAAGAAACCCAAGGACGAAAAATTTACCCAGAAGGCCAACTGTAAATGGAGGAAGGACCGTTTTTCTGCATAAAGTTTTCAGAAAAGTTACAGAAAATTATATGATATTGAATATAAGGAATGAAATGGCTTAACCTGTGGAAGATGTAGGAAAGAGGCAAGAGAAGAAGAGCGGAAATTGCATAAGAATACACCATGAATACTAGGTAGCTCAAACCCTTGGATACTGCTGCTTTGTAGAGTGTACTAAGCCCTACGTTTGTACATTCCACCATTACCATGGCTGCAAATGGAAGGACTTCACTGTAACAGTATCTCAGTCTCGCCATCTCTCTCTCTCAACACCTTCGGACACTTGGCAATGTTTTTAAACACACTTGCAATGTGGAAATGATAAGGAGGGGTTTGTTACTTATTTTTTGAAATGTGGGTAGTTGGTATCCTGCGTGACTCACGCGCCATTATTAATTTTATTTTTTTTCCTATTTTTACCTTGACAATCATTATTTTCAAACTTTTTTTTCTACTTATTTATTTTCAGTCACATTCACACAAAAAAATATTATACATATAAATTCAAAAATTTTCTTTTTTTTAACCACATATTCTCTTAAAAATCACTATTCAAAACTCTATATTCCCCAAATAACGATCGTCAAACATGGGCTTAATAGAATTGTTCTACTTGTACATTCTTTGTGTATATCATGGTTGATATTATGCGAGGTGTAAAAATTATGATCATTGATTATTTTAAGTGTTATTAAAATATTAATAAAATTGTGTATCGCATCACATAATGTCAAAAAAACTGTCAACCATGATGTACATTAAGCAAAACCATTTTTAATAATAGTTTTGATATTTGGCATCAACTTTAACTTTGGTCCCCAACCTTATTTGGCATATTCGACTTGTCCCAGGCCATGAGTGGACACCACGTTTGAGATACTATGAGAGTGTTTGATAGATATTATTAGTGATATAATGGGAAATATGTGGTTAAAAAGTAATGAAAAGTTATTGAAGCGATGAAAAATATTATTTTATTAAAAAATGTATGGTTGAAATGAGTTTTAAAAGAATATATTATGAAATAATGTGTGTCATACCAGGGCTATATTTTTATAATAATGGACCGACGGAGCCAACACATCCTTAAACATTCGAGCTCTACTAGTGTCCAAAAACATTGCTCGGTTTAGTCTGTCGGCTCGGGTGCTTCATGGACCAAGTCCAGCTACCTACAACCCGTTCATTTTTTTTAGCCCTCCCTTTTCAAGTATGGAATTGGTTACTTTTAATGACCACTGAATTAAAATTATATACGAATACATTTTCTCTGGAATGTATAAAAAAATAATGTAAATGATGTGGTATTATCATGATCGAGCATTTCGTTATACTCGAGCCCTTCTTGACTTATGAGACAAATCCTACATAGCTCGAGGTACGCCTTGTGCTCGAGCATATAGCCCGTATGCTTGAGCTATCACAACAATGTTTATGGGTGATTTGGTGATGTAGGTTCTCGGGATATGTCCTCGAGCACACACCACATCAATCACCCCAAACTCAGGAATTCTAGGTCGTGAAAGAGTCTTATATTAGGCAACTCCTCTACTAAGGGAGACTCGAACTCCTAATTACATTCCAACGCTTATCCCTATAGCCACTTCAGAGAATAAGGGGATGAGTCCTACTAGAACTACTTTACCTACCTCTATAAATATATCATTCTCATTCATTATTTAAGTACGTTTTTACATATTTTTTCATCAAATACTTTCTTCCTCTATTCTCTCTCTGACTTAAGCATCAGAATGGCGACAATGACACACTTCGATGCCTTCGTTCAGGTATCGGAAGATATCGTTCATTCTCAGTCTCAGTAGTCAAGCTCGAAAATTACACGTGCGATTTTTGGTAGCATCAGTGAACAACACTTACAAATTATGAATTCAGTTGACTCAGTTCTTGAAAATTTTTGGCTATTGAACTATCGACTCTATCTTAAAAATTTAACAGCACTTCATGAAGCTCGGAGGTGAATGGACTAAGAACCGAAGATTTGCTCAAGGCTCCTGTGAGTTGCTGGGGAGAGGAAATCAGTAGTGTGCGCAAAGTGAGGTGTGAAAAGGACTAAAGACTGGACGATATCAAGCCGTGAATTTGAGACTCGACCAAGTTCAAGACAGGAAAAACTTCTAGTCTATGAATATTAACCAAATGGGAGTGTTTTTAGGTTCATTCATGGTAATTTCCACTCAAAATTTTACCTTCTTCTTCATCTAAATTTGGTTTTATCTCATTTGTTACAGATGGAAAACTTACACGAAACCAGACTGACCAGGCATTCGACTGGGAATGCGTTGCATCTACAATAGCCGATACATTAGTTTTCAACGGGAAACTAAATTCCTCGATTATTTTGCTTAATACAAAGACAGAGCCATTAATAAGTGAACTCGGCCTAATGGTAGTTGACAATCCAGACTTTTCCATTATTGCCTGTGTAAATAGTTTCCAAATTCCAACCAACTGAAGAAAATTATGCATTCGGGATAATCCTCTCGAAATACTTCTGGGAAAAATGGCCGTGAACAATGAATGGCTAGTTGGGTTCTAGCCCTGGTGAGGGAATAATTGATTGGATAAAAAATTGATAGATCAATGATAAGGACGGATCTAAGATTCGACTAAAATTTTTTTTTTTAAAAGTCGGGCTATAATTTTTTTTAATATATACTCTAAAGAATTTAACGAGCAGGGGCTGGAGGCCAATCCAATCTCTCCCTATAAACGCCATTGACCAAGGGGCTAATGAAGTGATGTGAATAAATTCTAGGAGGCTAGGCCTAGTATCAGCAAGAACCAAGTTGTGCCCATAATTAGGGCGATAAAAGAAGACGATGATGGATCCTCGAATATTTCTGAATTATCGATCATGTTTATTTTTAGTTTGTATAATAGAATTTTTTTTATTCGGATTGTTAGCTTGAGTTATGCTCCGCATAAATTGAATTGGACAAAGCTGCAACAAGATTGACTTGGTTAATTAAGTACAAGACAAAATCATAGTCTATACATTGCCCCTTGGGACAGAGCTCAATAGTGTAAAGGATATGAGTGAGGTAGTCTCAATTGAGTTGGCAGCCGCTGTGTGAGGGTTCGATGCCTGCCTCTTATAAGTTATGAAACTGTACTCTTTGTGGGCATCAATATGACAGCTCTTTTACCCTGGTATGCTAAGGCACATTCCGCGATTTACCTCCTCCACAATGCTCTAGGGGCGGGGCGACCCTCAAGGTCGGGATTCAACCTTTAAATATAGTCTATACATTTAAACCATTAACTAAACATTAGGCCATAAATTATTGTTATTTTTTATTTTGCAAACTTAGAATAATGTTGTCCTTGTGACGTGCTAAATATTATCTTCTCTTGTTGCCAACTTTGTTAAACTACTAAAGTGGTTCTCGTAAGCCAACATTTTACTTCATTTCCTTTGTATTAAAGATTAAGATGAAAAATTCCTACACGCTTCATCCCTCCAAGCTACGTCCAAATAACCTACAAGACAAGTAATGTTTTATGATTTTAAACACCAAATTGTGTAATTTATAATCAAACAATGACGTGTTAATAATATTTTGTGTTCATTTGGATAACTTAGGAATTTTTTTAAAAAAAAATTAAAGTCAAAGTTAACAATTAATTTTAAGTATCTATTTCACTAGACACATAACTTTTTCTTTAACTTTTAAATCGCACATTTCATCGACTTTTTTTTTTTTTTTTCAAAAACTTCGTCAATCGACATTTTACTATATACTAAGGCCCTGTTTGATTTAACAAATTTTTCCAGGGAACTTTAAAATGAAATTTCATCTTCCACCAAAAGTCATGTTTGATTGGGGCAATTTTATTGACAATTCATGTTCTATCTTTTGCCTCACACAACTCCAATTCTATGATTTTGAGGAAAATCAATTCCTGCCAATTTTGTGGGTTTTTGTTTTCGNTTTTTTTTTTTTTTGTGGCAATGGAAACAATTTCTATCCTCAATTGTAACAAATTCTATCTATTTAATGGACATATAAAACAAAGTTAAACGAATACCAAAAGATTCAAAATTACAATACTTTCCACGTGAAAAATTATACTAATAAAATACAATTAATTGACAATTACCAGAAAAATAATTATAAACAATTCAATTCCCTGTAATTCATTTTCTTTTCATCCAAAATACACTCTTACAATCAAACGGAACAAATGTCATTTTCATATGATTCATACGAAGTTGTACTTTTTTATTAAAAAAAAAAACATTCATAATGACTTGCTAATACAAACCAGTGAAATCCATTTTTAGAAAATCAACATTTTACAACCTACCAAAGTAATTTCTCAAAATTTAGGCGCGATTAATAATAATACTGTTTTAAACCTGTTAATTAGGCCCTTATTGTCACTTTGGGTCTGTTTGATTGCGAAAGTGAAAAATTGGTGGAAAGAAAATGAATTTCAGGAAATTGAATTACCTAAAAATTATTTTACTGAGAATTGTAATTAATTGTATTTAATTGGTATAATTTTTCACATAGAAAATGTTGAAAATTTGGTGTTCGTTTCACTTCAATTTAATGAAAGTTGTCCATTAAAGTGATAATTTTTTTACCATTGGGTCTAGAATTTGTTCCAATTATAAAAAAAAATAAAAAAATTTAAGAAATTTTTTTAAAAAATTACCATACCAAATACATTTGACTTCGTTTTACATGAAAATTATCAATAAAAGTGATAATTTTTTTTATTATTGTGTCTAGAATTTTTTCCAATTGTAAAAAAAAAAAAAAAAAAACAAAAAACTATTTACCAATCAAAACATAAAAAATTTTTTTTCCTAAAAAAAGATTCCCACCACTTTGGTAAGAAAGTCAATTTCTTAAAAACATGAAAAACGAGTTGATCTGACACAAGCAAAGAAAGATATATAGACAATTCCATGATAAATTTTGTCAATCAAATAAGTTAAAAAGTAAAAAATGGAATTCATTTTCCATTTTTTTTGAAAAATTATGCCCATCAAACACAATCTTAATTAATTTTCAAAATTGTTGCTTACCGTGTTTTCCGCCCATCTTAGTGGAACGGGCATGTGGCACTTCGAGGCCCACTTGTAGGTGAAAAGTTGACCACACTTCTCCACGCACTTCACGGAACCGTGTGTATACAGCAATAGTGAGGCCTTGTTCTTTTATTTTTTCAAAAATATACTTTTTTTCCCATTCCCTTTTCAATCATACGTTCTTTCATAAAATAATATTATTACACTTAAACCAAAAAAAAAATTTTTTTTATTTTTTAATTACACATTTTCCATCAATCTATTATTCAAAATATATTTTTAAAAATAAATGAGAATATATTATTTTCAAATACATTCTTTCAAAATTTATTTTTAATCATATATTTTTCAATAAAATAATATTTTTCATCAAATTAATAATTTTTTTTTACTTTTTAATAATATATTTCCTATCATATTACTATTTGAAATACATTATTTCTTCAATAATATACATCAAACGAATACATTCTCAATCATACGTTCTTTCTTAAAATAATAATACACTTAAAACAAAAACAAAAATCCTTATTTTTTAACTACACATTTCCCATCAATCTACTATTCCAAAATATATTTTTAAAAATGAATGAGATTGTGTTTGATGTATATTATTAAGAAAATAATGTATTTTAAATAGTAATATTATTGATTTGATAAAAAAATATTATTTTATTAAAAAATATATAGTTAAAAATAAATTCTGAAAGAATGGCTCAAACACTTCGTAAATCTCTCTGTGTTTCTATAGTTTTTCCATTTATTTCTTGGAGGAAGTAAAAATTGCAGTCTGTTTTGGCATAATTTACATTAAGTGTAGATACACATATTTGCGTATTTTTTGTGTTGGACGTATATTGTCGAGTAGAATGGTAGAGATTTAACCTTCTGTATTCCAAGTCATGTAAAAGGCTCTCAGATTCCAGCTAAAAGCTGTTTCTAGGGTTTTTCTGCCGCTG